AATCTTCAAAAATTTAAACTCAACTCCTAGCATCATATTTTATCTTCCTGAAACCTTACCTGCCGTTGTCCTTTTTCTCACTCTTATTCATTACCAACGCCCGCCACATTGCGTCTTAGTGGCATTATCACCTTACTTGGAGGGAAATGAACACAGAAAAATGCTGATTCAAAAATAAGTGCTGTTCACGTTTCGGGTGAAACTGAATCTTGCATATATAGATTCGGAGTAGTCCCAATGATAGATGTGCGTTCTCTAATTAGGTGAACTTAAACATTGCTCTACCTTGAAAGCTTCTCGCGGTAGAACTTGTAGAACTGGGTTTCGGCTATAGATTCTGGTTTGATTCCTAAGGGAGGTATAATTTTTCCTCAGTAGGATTCGTTGATGAATTGGTTGGTTATTTAAACGGCGTATCAATATATATATGGGTCATTAAAGCCGAAAAGTTTGTTTGGTTTATGTTGTTCATAGGCCACTCAGTGCTGAAATCCAAATATTTTGTACGCAACTGCAATAAGCGTACAACTCTATTTTATACGCAATTTTATACGAGATATATTTTTTTTTTTTTTTGTAAAGAAAATTAAGATATTTTTCTATAAGTGCAGAAAGCAGCCTATTTCTTTCAGTTAGCCATTTATTAAAGAAAGAAGATATATATTTTTTAAAGCATAGTAAGATTTGGATATGGTATATCTTGGAATTGATAGTGGAGCGGTTTCCCGTTGCCATCTCCACGGTGTTTATCGAGACACCACCTCTAGTTAGTTGGCCGTTGATTCAGAGAGATTCTCCACCCTTTGTCAGGTCTTGTTTTTCTGGCTCGTTTAACAAGCCGCCTCACTCGGACGAACTTGAAGTGGGGTAGTCAGTGGTTTAGTTGCACGACATTTCTACTATGGAATACTTATCATATATATATATATATATATATATATATATATATATATATATATATATATATATTTATTTTATGAAAGTTTTATTTATATATATACAAATTTTTTTCTGATGAAAAATTGAGGAAAATTTGAAATATCAAATAATAAATAAATTATGACCATCAATTTAAATTTTTATATAGGGACATATCTGTATACAACGAAAGTCAATTATGCCTATATATATATATATATATATATATATATATATATATATATATAATAGTTTTGAAGTTCAAAATTTGCCTGTCTTCTTGCAAGAACAACAAGATTATTAAAGCAAATTTTGATTACTGTTTGTATTATCGCCAACAAAACAAATCTTTTACAAAGCACTGGGCAATAAAACAAGACATTTAAAATTCTTCACAGAAAAACCATTCTGTGTTTCTTTTGTTTAAAGCGTCTATATTATATATATATATATATACGAATAAATTTTGAAATAGCTTTATAGAATATATATATATAAGAAAAAAATACGTTTATTGTTCAAATATATATATATACATATATATATAAAATATATATATATATATATACATATATATATAAAACATATATATATACATATATAAATATATATATAAATATAGATACATATACATATATATATACATAAATACATATATATATATATACATATATATACATGCATATATATATATATACATACATATATACACATATACACACATATATACACACACACACACACACACACACATATATATATATATATATATATATATATATATATATATATATATATATATATGCATGTTTCATTAAAAACGACGGACACAAGTTACAGCGGTTAAGCTTTTTATTTAATTTTTTCTGGTGTTCGAGCAAGAGCTTTCTTTTCTGGATACACAGTCACAAACTCATATCCATAAAATTGAATACACACACACACACACACACACATATATATATATATATATATATATATATATATATATATATATATAGTATAATTTATAAAAAGCATAATCCTTCATTTACGCATGTTTCATTAAAAACGACAAACAAGGTACTACGGTTAAGTTTTTTTTCATTTATGTTTTCTTGTTTTCAAACAAGAGCTTTCTTTTCTGAACAAAGATTGTGTAAAAACTGTCCAAATGTTTTATATGCCCCTGAAGGAACTGCGTTCTTGATCAAACCGGACTCATAAATAATTACATCGTTTGCACAACTACATGCTTATCTAGAAGCCTTACGTTACACCTATCTGATCATAGCTCCATTAGAACCCATTTAAACACACGCACAAACTTACCAGCCCCCATTAGAAACATACAAGTAGAAAACACAAATATAATAACTGCATCCACCTGTAAAAAAAGATTAAAAATAATGGAAGCTTTAATAATAAATAAGAAAAAGCCAACTCTTAACAATATTAACTACGAACAAGGCCACAATGTGCTAACAACACACTAAAACATACACATAGTGCACACTTTCAATTGAGCTGAAAAATCGAATCATCCTTGATAATGGCTAAAGGTATAGCTGAAAGTGGTCGGAAATATAGAACATTTGGACAATTTTTACACACACTTTGTCCAGGAAAGAAAACTCTTGTTCGAACTCAAGAAAAATTAAATAAAATTCTTAAACGTAGTACCTTGTCTGTCATTTTTAATGAAACATGCATAAACGAAGGATTGCTGCTTAAATATACAAAAATTCTGTCGTAAAAAAAATCGCGTAAAACATCGCCGAAAACAATCGCAGTAATGAAAAGGCGGGAAACTAAAATTTTTGGGTTGCGGGTCTGAATCCGACCGGAAAGTTTTCATTTGCTCACTGAGTCGGCCTGTTTTCAAAATTGTATGATATGTTGGGCTACGAACTTTAGAAGTAAAGTTGAAAACACGGACAATTTTATTTTGAAACATTGTAATTTGAGAACAGTAAGTTTTTTTTAATTTGAACTTGAGCTATTGAAAGAAAAGGAATTGTGTCCCTTTAATTGTTTTTACTAGTACAAGACAAAATGGTGGAATCCGTAAACAGTCGCAGTAATGAAAACTTGGGAATCCAAATTTTCAGGATTGCGGGTCCAAATCCGGCACGGAATTTTTTTAATTTGCTCATAGAGTCGGTTCTGATTCTTAAATGGTATGATCTGTTGAGCTACGGCCTCTAGGAGTAAAGTTGAAAAAGCGTGACACAGTGACACACTGACATTCGCTTTTATTGTATAGAAGAAGTAATGTCGGATTAAAAAATATCCATTCAAAAACATTGTTAAATTCGACCTAGAATGCAATAAAAAAAATGCAATAAAAAAAAAGTGAAATAAAAAAATTAAACAGACAAAACGTCTGTTTAAATTTTAATTGCATTCTTCCACTTTTCGAATAAGATGTTGCATATCAAGATCAAAATTTGAGATCGCTGGAATTGGAAATTAAATCAATTCAAAGAGATGTCATATACAGGGTTGGCGCTAAGGTCTCGCTCCCCACCCACGAAACTTTGATATGGGGCCTGTGCGTGTGTGTGTGTGCACGCGCGTGTGCGCATACTTTCGTGTGTGTGTGTGTGTGTGTGTGTGTGTGTGTGTGTACATAATTGAAGTTTTTTTTCTTCGTTTCACACCAAGGAAGGCAATAAAGCCACTAAGACACACGGGGTTGCTGAATGTTAGAGACTGTGAGGTCGGAAATAATGTTAAGGAAAGAATACACATACAAGAACCATAATTAAGAAGGCATAATGATTGACATTGCATTTAAATTTTTGAAGATTAAAATTGGCTAGGAAGCTACAAGCCGGAACTGTGTTCCGCGCATGCGAAGTACAATAAAAGAAACTATTAGCATAGAACTTCCGGTTACATCTAGCTCTTTCAACTGTAAAACGATGAAACCTTGCCGACAATCTAGTACTGCGCTTAAATTCATAAAGTCCGGTTACCATAGCGGAAAGTAATAATTATTTGGAAAATACAAAAATGTGACACAAGGCCAAGAGGAGGGATTAGAGGAAAGCTGGTTTTTAAACTGTCTTATCTTAAATTTAGCTAGCCGTGACTACTGTCCCAAACATACCACAGTATTCCTTACACCACGTTCTTTCTTACGATTCTTACTACAGCCACCTTAATACCTCAGTGTCTCTATGAAGTCTTAACAATCCCTATAAATACAACTTTTGTCTGAGAGTAGGAAGGAATAAAAAAAACAACAATTTTAAAAACATCTAACCCCAATAGCGTAAAGTTCATCAGCAGAATTACCATGAAAGTATTTATCGAAAAGGCAGTGGGAAGCCATGTTGTGGCGGCGGGAAAATGACT